GTAACAATGGAATTGTTAAGAGAAAGCGACGTGCAAGACGCAGATGCAGTTTTTTTCGTTTTTGCGGGAAATCGAACATATTTTTAGACCCATCTAAAAATTCTCTAATTAGTCTGGAAACAAGGGGACCCAATTCTTGCATTCTGTGAAAACGGGTAAGGTTTACTGTAACGTAATAATCTTTATCTTAGTTATCGTTACTTTTGCCCGAGCAACGCCGGGCCCACCTGCTAGTTATACAATATAGCGATTAATGAAGAGTTTCGTTTCGTTAGAACTTTTTATAATCGATCTTAAATTTCATATATACTGCATGAGATGTGTGATCTGGCAGTTTTATTTAGTGTCGAGATAATTTGTCAGTACAAACGTTCTGTGAGAAACTATTATACTTACAATGAATACAGACAAATAAACCACCAAATAATTTTTAAATAAGTAAGTGCTATAAAATATTTGTCTTAAAAATTCATCAGATACATTTATAAAAAGCTCCTATGCTACATTACAACTATGTACTGTGCTTACTAGAATGATAAAACGCGCTACAACAAAAACGTTTGTCAAATTTCAAACATTCATTTTAAGAAGAATTCGTCTAAAAATTCTCCACAACTATTTTGAATCGTAAATTGTAACTGTAAATTGTAACTCTTTCTAAAAGAGGGTTACAACTATACGTTCCCGTCTAACAATCAATTTTCCGGTTGCATTCTTTCTTTGGAAACTTTGGAAATACCTTTAAAAGCTTGATATAATGTAACGTGAAAGATACAAACTTGAAAAATGATCAGAACTATATTAAAGAAACGGTGACAACGACCAGACTTCTTAGAATTAAAAAGTATATTCCTAAAATAAAAAGATGATAATTCAAATAATAAATGAAAATCATCAATCAAATACAATAAACAAAGAAACAACTTACTTTATCCGTCTCAATCCTTCAGTAATCCACAGTAATGAAATAGTCAGCGAGAACAGCAAAAAAACTTGTACCATGAAAATACTATCGAATTCAGTGAAGAGATATTCACTTTTGATGAACAATATAATGTTGATCACAGATAAAATAGTGGTGACAGCATACTGGAAAAAGATTTTAATGAAATTAGTTTTCCTTTGTTGAATATATATTTCATATTGAAAAACATGCTTTCCATGATTGTACAGTATTCATCATCCAAATAGTTTCTCTTCGGAAATAAAGGGGTGGCAAACTAGAAAGTTTCTGTAACTTCAAAACACACCCACATGTTGGGAATAATACAAGACAATAATAAGATAATCATAGAAATCGCAAATATAGAAAAAACAAAACAACTACGAACATATGACACGGTAACAATACTTATACCATATAGAAGTTGTGTAACTAAAACCAACCACGAATTATTTCCGCTCTTCCATTTTTTCTTCTCCTTTTGACTACATTAATTTATTAGCTAAAAATGTTGTGGTACATTTCAATACTTACATTGTGAAGTCCAGAACCCGAATTAAATATGTAAAAGAATGAAAATTCGAATAATAATCGAGTAAAATGATCTTCAAAATCCATTGTGTAAATAGTTTAAAATTTACTTGGTTTGACGAAATTCGTACTTTATTCTCAAAAAGGAAAAGCATACGATGATTTTATACGTCTATGAGGTAAAATTATGCAAAAATATAATTTAATCTCTTCTCAGATTATTGCTTTAGTCATAATTGATTTAAAATTTTCCTGGAATTGATAGAAATATTTTGAATTTATGTTAAATTTATGTGATTCCGAATAGAATTTATTGAAGGGGGATGTACTGCTGCCACATCACATTCAGAGTGGGCAGACAATCCTGACGAACTGCTTGAAAGTTCGCTGGGAGATGGGATCTGCTCCACGCATGGTTCAGAAGAAATGATACTTTCTTCTGGAGGATCAGTCCAAGAGAAGTCTCCTGCAACAATATGAAAGAACAACTATTATTTATAGTGTATTAGTATATACATGTATATACTGATGTACTTGTATATAAACATATACATACCTGATTCTCCCTCCTCGTGTGATTTGCTGACCAGTCTTATTGAATAAATATCAACATCTTCCGGTAACAGGGTTGCCAGATTGGGCTACAAGTAGCGGATTGGGCTACCTTTTAAGTGCCCTCGATACAAAAATTTCAAATTGGTCGACACGCTACTTTTTGGGCTAGTGATAATTATCTTCAGGCTACAAATCTTAAAAATACGCTACTTTTTTATTTTCATATATAAAATCGCAGCACATTTCTTGTATTATACAAAACTAATAAAGTTTTATTTAATTATTTATACAATTAAGTGTAATGAAATTAAATGTATTACCGTCGGCCAGGTTTTTATATTTTTTTATTTTACTTAAAGTTTTTTTGTTCAATATTTCTATTTGCAATGAACGATAATTTTACAGAAACGTAACATGTTCAATACTCGTTTAATTCTTTAGTACTTTTTAGTACTAAAACAAGTATTAAACGAGTATCGAACTTGTTACGTTTTAGTAACTTTAGATCTGGCAACACTAGTATTTGTTGAGTTCGCACCGTTACTACCAATTTTTAATTGACTTTATGCATGAATGGCAGCATTATCCTGTTGGAATTGCCAATTTTCTTTCCCAATAAGTGATCCAAAAGTTATTAAATTTTGATACAACGGTTCTTGATACAATGGAAACAGGATGGCTTAAAACTGAAAACAAAAACCGTAGTCGCTAAGTCTTTAAGTTCAAAAAATGAATCGCCTCGCCTGCGAATGACTGGCTTTGATTTAGAGAAAATTGATGCAGATACACCGAATATATATATTATAAACTTATTTCATTAGTAAAAGTGCATAGTTGCAAAATAATTCATTTTTATTGTTTGGGCTACAAACAGTTCAAATCCGCTACTTTTGGAGCACAACCACGCTACTTTTTAACCTTCAGATCTGGCAACTCTGTCCGGTAAACCAATCTTTTCTCTCATTCCCCTCTCATATATCATTTCTTAAAAAACCGAGGAATGAAATCATGATCTGAAAACCATAAAAGAACATGAAATTCTGTTGTTTGATAGAAACTAAACAAATGACTTGTCCTTTTTAATTACTTTAAACTAGTTTTACTATTATTAATGCTATAAATGCTTATCATACCCTCCAATTCATAATAAAACTAATTTATACAATTTAATTGTAATTTTAACTGTAACCGTTCAAGGTAACCTTTATTACAAGGGGTAATAAATTGGTTATTGTATACATTTGAATGTTATGTTCCAACTGATGAGAGACTATAAATCCAAAATGCATGTTTTTTTTTTCTTTTTTGGAAAATACACGTGTATAAAGTCCTATAAATTAAAGGATATTTAAGCCTTTATTTATACCATTCATAGCAATTTGCTAAAGCTATAGCCTAGTTTACAGCAATTCTTAATAATATCACGTTGGAATTACATTTAAGGTATTAATATTGCGTAGAAAGTGATTTTTATTGGTATAATGTAATTTATCAAACAAATTATGTAAAAGGTATGCCTGTACAGTCTTTTACACAAACTTTAATATATAATTTGTGTGAATTTCGAGTTTATTTCGTGTAATTAATAAAACGTTATGAAAAACAATAACTTACCATTTTCTAAACGACGTTTAATTGAAGAATCAATTTTTAATTCAATTTTTAAGTTCTCGTAAACAAATTCGACGAATTCCATCGTGGTGGCTGCCATTTTGTTTAAGTGCAAAAAGCACCTCGTTCCATCATTGCAGATTTAACCTCGAACCAGTGAAATCGCTGAGAAGTTCTCTGCGCGCAGCGCTTCAAGAAAACGAGTTTAACAACGCTCTCAGCTGCACCGCTTAGAAGCGCTGCTCGCAGCGCTGAATTTAACAACAACCCGTTGGTCTCGATTTATCCTGAATTGACTTATGGCCTTCTCTGTAACTCTTGCATGACTTATTCACTGCTATTCTTCCTAAACGATGTTCACTGTAAGCGTGATTCATTCATCTATAGATGTCATCACACCTATTTCTATCTGGCACTAAAAACTGAACTACAGCCCGTTGCTCGATTCTGAACCCTTTCGTCATAACTAACTTTGCATTAATATATCAATTACTGGAGACAAAATCTATTCCCGCCAATGCTTAATGCACGCTTCGTTTTTGTTGATCTTACCCGCAGTTAAGGTAGCCTACCAATTGCTACTTTGCACGATAAAATATGACACGTGTCCACTTTCCAATTGGACAATCCTTATACTTTCTCTCATAAAGAAGAGTTTAAAAAGTATCGTAAAGTATAGATTTTCTTAACTTTTTCAATGTATCAAAAAATATTGTTACTATTTTTACATAACTTTAAACAATTACAAATAAATCTATACTAGCCTATATATTATTTGCTGTACCTTGTAAAAGAAGTTTCTCTTTATGATCAACTTACTAACATAACAGAAAAATAAATATAAATATTTTAATTTGTATTAAATAATAAAAATATTTTTCAGTTTATGTTACTATCTAATTTTAAGTATAATATTTTATCTCAGTTTACACGATTAGAATTAGTAATCGTTAGTGTAAATTTGCCATTTGTGTGGTAACAAAAAGTAATTTACATCGAAAGCAAATATATACGATTTAAATTTTATTTTAAATTTACGCCGATAAGAATAATAATAAATATTATTAAATTAAAACTTTTTTGCGTAACAGAAGGTAATAGTACCTCTATTTCACACTGCCTGGACAGATTTGTAACAGTCCAAACTCAACCAAATTTTCTATGCTGACGTTTCTAGAGATGCAAAAGAGATGAGATTTCCCTAGAGGAAGATTTAGTTTATAAATTCTTCATTATGAGACTTGTGACGTAGCGGCGAGAAATCTCAGCGCAAATTTTCGGTATTATAACTCCCGAAGTGCACTCACAGCACTCTTTTTACATTAAGCAACTTCACAAGAAAGGCACATTCAGGCACGATTACGACCATCGTTGCTGATCGGTAGTTTTATACCCAGAAATTTACCATAGCACGTGTGCATTTTGCATAAGCTAATTATTTTTTCCACACCTAGCGCCACAAGTTCTGTAATAGAAAACATTGGAACTTATTTTTTTTCTCGCGGAAATGGTTTTCGGGTATTCAGCAATGCCAGCATACAAATTTTAATTGAGTTTTTCTTTATATATATTCCTGTAGATAGCGTTAAATAAAGGTATATTAAGTTCAAAACAAAACAAAAGGAAAACCATATATATTTGACATGAATAAAACACTAAAAATTTCAGATAAATCTTAAATTTGATTCTTTTACTTAAGAGATGCATTGGTAATCATTTGCAAATTGCATTTATCGATTGTTAAAAATTTCATAACATATAATATTAAATATTTTATTATTATTAAAGTTTAAAATTTAAGCATAAACGTTTTAATGTCATTAATAATTACTCCGAACATTATTAAATGAGTTACGACAAGTAAAATTATTAAAATCTTTCTAAATTTTATTAAGCAGTTTAATTTGTATCTAGTAAGCTAAAAAAAATTTATTTTTTAAAGTTCACTATATACAATAGTCTATTAGCAATAAAACAATAAATTTACTCTTGATATTGATTAAAATATAATAATGATGATACTTAGAGTGTTAACAATAAGAAAAGTTTAGACGAAATGAAAATGGAAAATTAGTATATGAAATCAATAATTCAAATAAAAGAAAATAAATATAAATCAAAATGTTCAGAAATAATTCTATAGAATAGTTTAAAGTAAAATAAAACTTTTATTACTAAACTACTACGAAACTTCATTTTTGTTTTTGTAACTTTTGTTTTTATATTTTTTGTTTGAAGACAATTAAAAATGGATAACATTATGTAATATTATAAATTCTATTTTTTAAAGTAGATCATTCAACTTCAATCGTTTGAGAAAATTCCGCTTAGGCTATATATTTGTAAACTTAATTAAATTAAAAAACGAAAATTGGAAACATAAATTTTGAAATAAATAAAAGAAAATAGTATTCTCATTTAAGATAAAGTTTACGTAGGTATTTGTTGATGAAAATTTTCTTTATTATTATCGTCAAGAGTGGACTGTTTATAGTACGAGCAATTTTAAATTAAAGGAAAAATTTGTTGGAGTGAAATGCTGTGAAAAAAATTTAACATTAGAAAAAATAGAGTTTCTATATATTTTACTTTTGCAAATGTAAAATAAAATATTTGAGATGTAGGGCGCCTCTGGTAACAATGAAGTACGAGAGAGAATGAAAAGAATTGATGGATTTTCTTCTGACGGGAATAATAGACAATGAGAGAAATTCAAAAATTTTAAGTAAAAAACAGCATTTATTTTGTGAAAAATGTTTGTTGATATAACATTTAGATGCTGAGTGTGTAGTTTGTTTCGTTTCATTTTCCTATTTTAATTCCATCAAGTTTCCTCAAAAAACAAATATTTTTTTATAAATATTTGTTTTTTGGTAAGATATAAATAGATCTGGTAAGATAATAAACTTAACACACAAATTAAATATTTAAGATTTATATCAGTTTGCTTCACAATTCTTTTTAATTTTATTGATTTTCTGTGTGTATATAAACTGTACGAGGTATCCCTCGTACAGTACAACACGATTCGAGAATTAGACATCCCCATACAAAATGTCACATTTTAAAGTCCGAACTCCGTCATTCGATATTTTTTTTTATTCAAGCAAGCGTGAATTGTTTGTTGTCTCATATTTGTCCATGAATTTTAAAATATTGAAATTTTCAATATTTTGTTCTTGTTTTGTGCCTTTCGATCGGTTTTCTTTAATGACAACTGATTGTACAATTTTTCTTCTTCCTTATCCTAACTTTCCTATAAATCAGGTGTCGCTGTCGTTGGTGATAGTACTCTAAATGAACCCGAAAGACTGTCGTTGTGTTTTATTTTTATAAATTAAATTTAAAGTTGCTAAATAAAAAGATTAAATTTTTAAAAATCTTTTAGGCAAATGCAAGCAAATAAAAGTATCGAATTTTTATTTGCTTTGAAAAAGTAGAGAAAAATCAAAATGTTACTGATATTTAAGACGGTCAACAGGAAGGCTTAGAAGATGACAATATTTTGCCAAAAAATTAATGTTTATCAGTGAAGTTAAACCTAATATTAACGTGCAATACTTTTGATTGTAATTGTTAGTTAATTATTGATTGCTTTAATAAGCATATTTCTCTTAATTATGAAAAAGAATAGTATACTTTTTGCTAACTTTTGAAACCTAACCCTATGTTTTGTATTAGTCTTTTGTGTCTTATAGCACGGATTCGCATAACATGGCACTTTTTCGAAACCTAACTACCATGTTATATGGGGATATCTGTACTTAATAAAATATTTGTATATGTAAATATACACATAAATCTTTTTATTAACTACAAAATTCAAAGTAACTCCATGCAAGATTTTCTATTTTTGACTTTCCGCCGGAAACAAAAATGATTTTTTATCATTCTTATTATGGTTTGGCCAGATCAATAGGTGCGTTTGGATGTTGAAAATAGAATCCGACAAATTCAAGATATGGGCGATTATCTATAAAAAATTTTGCTTTAATTCGATCTCGGATCTATCAGAGCCTCACTGCACCTCGCCTTTCAGCCATGCTAAACATGCAATTTGTGAATGTAGACAATCTGTTACTGTGAATGATCGATATCTGGCGAATGTCAACATTCTCCGGTGAATGTCAGCATTCACATAATCGTTTCGTGTATGTACGAAATATTTGCTAAATATTATTTCTCACTTACACCGGCAAATGTCGACATTCAGCATGCACTGATGGTGAATTTTGAATAAAAATATTTTTATTACGTTAAGACAAAAATGCAACTTTTTAATATGTCAAAATAGGAGAAAGCTTAAATAACAGCACATGTAAATAAACTGTTGAACCTAAAACGAACAGTACTTTCTAAATCATTAAAGAATATAATACAATAATAAACTTACACATAAATTATGTGATTAACGTTATACAATCTTATTTATTGCAACAACTTAAACTGTTATGGCACTTTGAATTGCACATGAGTCCCTTGCTTTTAAACCTGCATTTATTCCTGGAACACTTCTTTTTGCAATAGCAGCGTGTATAGCTTTGCCCTCCACTTTTCGAATTAGCTGCAGCTGCTTCTCTCAGCGATATTTCTTGAGAAGAAATCTCATCTATGGAAAGTAACTTTTCTTTACAAAATACGAACTAACTACGGGTATAAAGCTGCTTGAGGGTATCATTTTTGTTTGCTAATTTATAAAAGTCGGAGTCTTCTATACCAACAACAACCGCCAACACATTTCGGGCATCTGTACGGCTACGGACGACATCAGGGACTTATATTCGCAGGATATCACCAATTTCAGCAGAAGAAAATTTTCTTTTTGAGGTTCGTAACATTTTCGTTGCTTTCAGTAAAAGATTCTCTTTCGCGGCCGCTCTTTTTATAGTGATAAATTCGTGTTGTTCAGTCAGGGCTTGACATGAAGACGTGGTGAGTTGCAGCTCCTCTTTAATATTTTCCTTTGGAATATGGTATTCGTTATGGCCACTGCTCAAATTTTCTTCAAAAGTATTAACAATTTCTTCGAGCTGTTCTTCGGTTTCAATATTTGCGATTTGTTCGCCAGGCAAAGATGCTATGCCTCTTTTTGGTTTAACGCCAAACATTGCTTCATAAGGACTTTGGTGTATTCCTTCGTGATATGTAGTGTTCTTGGCAAATTGTACAAAGGCAAACTATCTGACCATTTATTTGTATCGTTATCTTTCACCCATACAGTTAACATATTCTGTATATCCCGATTGGCCCTTTCAACTGAGCCTTGTGTTTGACTATGACGAGGCTTTCCATGAACTATCTTAACATCTTTCCACATAGTGCATAGTTCGGATATGACTTGATTAGAAATTCCCTACCATTATCTGAATGCAATATAGCTGGGGCAACAAATGTTAAAAATATTTGAAGAAGGTGATATGTTACTTCTTCAGCTGTCTTAGTTTTCAAAGGTCGTTGCTGGACAAATTTCGTTAAATGATCTTGTTACACTATTATGAACTTATATTCGCCATCCCTGTGTGACTGCAGGTCTATCAGATCGACTTGACATCTTGAGTTTAACTCTGAACTGACCATTGTATCACAACAATACCTTTTTTAGGTGCACTATGTTTTATTTGACATTATTTACATAAATTTAAATACAACATTACGACTTCGTATGTAATATTTTTGTATTTGAGTTGCAATTCTTTAAGCATACGAGTTCTTCCTCCATGGTCTGTTCTGCTGTGAGTTTCAGATAGTATACTGAACAATTCATCATTGGTAACATAATACTGTATATTCGTTTCTCCTGGTTTTAATGGTACAATTAATTTCTCTTCGTCATTAGTTTTTAAAACGTTAAAACGTTTTAATCGTCTGTAATCCAAAGGTGTGCTGCGCTTAGTTTTAGCAGAAATCACTTCAGAAAGTATTTTAGAGTACTTTGTTTGAGAAAAATAAAAACAATTCTTCTCGTTTACTTGCAATTAATGCACGTAACTTTTCAAAAAAGTTCTTGGTTTACTGCAGTATCCATTCAATATAAATTAGGGTATCGGATAAAAAAATAAAATTTAAGAAAACGTTGCACGCACCAGCAAATCTTGCATAAGACTGAGAAACAGCAGTGTTCCAAAGTATAACAAATAGATACCACGTGATTTCAACAGCGGCAGAACAAAGGATTTGGCGACAGACTGTCGCTTTTCTGTCGACATCGGCTTCTCGGGTGTCGTTTAGACCTCCATCAAAGCTTATCTGTGCTTGTCGAAATACACCGGCGATTGTTCGAATGTATAATAATATAACCAAATATTCGGTCTTTCACCGATGTATTTTGTTTGTGTCGTCATTCACCGGAGAATATCGACATTCTCTAATTTCGGTCTTTAACGGTAACATATCCACTACTTTCTAACAATTTAGTCAGAGTGAAACCTTTGTCTTTAAATTTACTTCATACAATGAAATACAGAAAATTTTGTTAAATTCTGAATAATTAAATGATTTAGTTATGTAATATAGCAATCATAGCGTAAAATACCGTATAAAAAATAATATTTAATCGCTTTATGAATTATTTCATAAGTTCAAAGAAACCCTTAACAATTGCTGGAACAACATGTTTAACTTTATATAATTTTGATTCGAACAGATTCCTTGCTGAATTTACAAACATTTTATAAAAACAACAAAAAGCAATCTTGCCTAAACAAAATATTTACATTAAACACTTATTTCTGAAAAGAAGCCAATTAATATCGCTCTCTTTCCTCTTGAATATTATTTCACTGAATCAGCTTCTCAATCGAGACGTAAGCTACAGTAACTAACCGTCTTCCCAATAAGACTAAATAGTGAATTTCCCTTATTGCACTCACAATATTTTAAGATCAGTTCTAATGGCATCCCAAAGTTTTTGAGTGCTTAAAATTTCCGTTGTCTGATAGTATCGAAATTTTTCTTCACTCATCAAAATTTATCTAGTTTTAGGTTGCCGAATTCACAATTTTGAGTCAAAACGTACACAAATAACCAATTTCATGTTTGTTTTCATCTGAGTTTGAGCGTCTCAGTTTGAACTCTTTCTAGATGTTCGAATCTTCCAAACTCCGTCTTGAGACTATTTTAAAAACAACTTTACGCTTTGTATGGTGTTGCAAAACGTAATCAATTTAGAAATTAAATTTATTTGATTATTTATACGATTATGGTAGAATCTTAACACGCGGATAATCAAAAACTCGAATAGAACCGAATATTTGATAACTGATTAAAATAAACTGGATTTGGATGCATTAATATGTACGATAACAACTTTTAAATTATACAATAAAACACTTTATTTTATTTACAACTGTACCAGTTGTAAATAAAATGAAACAAATGAAAACCTCTTTTATTTTTTTTAAATTATGGAGAAAAGTTTGTTTACAAAATAATCTCTCACCACAATTGACACATCTCGAATGATGGAAAACTCCGTTAAATAGGTCTCTACTGTATTAAATAAGTATTAAATAATAATTATTGAATATTAACTACAGTTGTGGATTCGGAATAGAATTTCGAAGAAAAAACCCCAAAATCCTGATAAAAGAAAAGACTTCTCAGTGCCCGTAGGGCGAAAAGATTCAAAAAATAAAAAATAAATAAGATTAATTTATATTACTAAATAAGTGCGTACTGTATATATAGTCTATAATATATACATTTTATTATTTTAATATATAGGCCTATATTTAAATTGTAAAGTAAAATTTTTATCACTCGAAACTTGTTCACACTTTTCAATATCTTGTTCTCTATATAATTTTTTTTGTAATATTCCTAAGTTAAAGTTTTGTTTCAACTTTCGATAGTCATCAATCAAACTTACTTCTTTTCTAATATTTGTCAATAAAACTTTTTCATTCAAATTATGTCGTCTCTTTAAAGTACGCTTGTTCGTTTTATCTATTACATGACACGTATTCAAAATTCTAGAAAAATAAATTTTGTAGATTCGTGCGAAAACAAGACTGTAGATTCAAGTAAATATTAAAATATGGAAAAAAGAATTCATAAAATTCATATTTTTTTCCAGATTTTAATATTCATTAAGTACTCATACTACACAGGACAAAAAGTCTACCGTAATACTCATGTTTATATAAAGTTTTTTATTACATAATCTATGCAATCATCTTTCAACTTATTTTCCTCTCTTTCTGAATTTCCCTGTATTAGCAAATACACAAAATGTAAGAAGTAAAAAGCACTGAAAACACACGGGCGTAACGCAAGAGATTGTTCACAGCGAAAGCGAAAGACGACATGAGTGCACAATGGTAGATAGCATTACTCTACGTTCGAACTTGGTGTCGAATTTTTTTCGAATTTAGCGTTCGAACTCTGGAACGTTTGAAGTACGAGATGCCACTGAAATTACAACACACAACAATTTTAATCATTGAAATTATATAAGAAATGTACTATCTAAAAGTTCTGGAAATTTCTTATAAAATTCATAGATAGTAAAAGGATTTTCTTACATTAAAAGTATTTTAAAAATTGTGCGATAAACCTTACATATGTAATTTGAGTTTACCTCATAAAAGGGTTAATTCATATTTTCTTGAAATCCAAAATTATATTTAATAAAAACTACATATACTTTGAGAAACTATCTGATATAATTTGACTCAATCGTGATACCAAAAGTACACAAATCTTACACAAAGAAAATGTGACATTAATTACAAGCGTTATATTAAGGAACTTTCCACTTTATACTTTACTGTGAAGAATGACTGCAAATTTCAGATTTGATGGTAGCTTAATAGCAGTTTATACATCGGATGATAATCAAGTTAGCTACAATAAAACAGCCAAAGTGACGTCTGAAGAGAGTATTTGAAAGTGGCAGAAGGATAAAAGTGTTTCCTTTAATCAAGGGAACATGTGGATAATGAGTAATTTTGAATGGCTTATCTGACTCCTTTGATCAGATAGCTTTAGACTTTGCTAAGTAACCTTAATGTAAGTTTCGTTAGCAATAATCTTGATAATCTAGACACTAATTATGAACAAAGTCTGTAACTTCTTTCCAATCCTGCCATAAAATCTTATAATATGAAAATATAAACAACAAGGACATAAAAATTATTATATTTTATATAATAATAACTTGCATATATAAGAAGCATATTAAATATTTAAGTATAAATGAAACCGAATAAAGCCCTAATTGCTTTGAAATAAATATTAACTTCTATCATCAAAAATGTAAATTAATAATTACTGTATATTTATATATAACAATGTACAGAAATGTTTTAGTTTCCTTATGTAAAATAAAAAATTAATTAAAAATCTGTATAGCAGGCTATAACTATCTTATTTTAAAGAGATGTTCGAATTTATAAACTTTAAGAATCGCTGGTTTAATAATCGAATACTGTATGAAGGAAAGACATATTTATTACAGCAATCTTGCATATTTTATAAACAAAATTAATGTTTAGAAAGTGAAGGTTAAATAAAAAATTGAATACTGTAATAAAATAAGAAAACTTCTACGTAAACTAAAAAGGTTTTATCTTTAATCATAAAGAAGTAATCTTATACCGAAAAGTATTTATCATTATTCTTTATTAAAGATTATTTAAGTAATTTTTTCAATCAGAATTCTATCAAGTCTATCATTCATGACAAGACAAAGTGTAGAGTTACTACAAGTTATTTATTTATCTCTGTTTATATTTTCGTCTTGTACAGAATCCATTTGTGATTCCAAATTATTTGCATTGCCAGAAATAACTCAAATAAATTGAATGCGGTATCGTTTCTGAAAATACAAAAAATAAAAAAAAATGTTAAACAAAACATATTAAATTGAATGTGGTGTAATTTATCATATAAATTTAAGAAAGTGAAAAAAAAATGCTAAATTATTTTAGTTTTCAGAAATTTATTAAAATAAGTCCTTTTTTTTAGATGCTATTCATAACAAATATCAGAATTTTTATGTAATGAATACTTCAAGAAATAGGTAAAAATTATCGAATAGATTTGTTTATTTATTTCTGACATTTATTCAAATCTGGATAGAGCTGTTTCCTTCTAATAATAAAAAAATTATACTTTTAAATATAACTTAATAGTTCTAAATAAAATTATAAAAACTTTGAAAGTTATTTTATAATAATAGAATGTTGAGTAAGTAAAATCAAAATAAAACATTTGTTTACGTAAGACAAAAGTAATTTATATAAAATAATAAAATGATTTTCAGTAAAATATTTAAAACACTCAGATATAATGTAGTCAGATACGATGTGTGTACAA